AACCTCAGATAATCTAGGATCACCAGGATAATCTTGAAGGATAAAAACACTGCTGGTGATGTCACCATTCCCAATTTCAAGTTATACGACAGAGCTGTAATAATAAAATTGGCATGGTATTTGCATGAGAATCAGCACACCCATAAATGTGAAACCAGATGTAAGTCCACACACACCCTTAGCCACATGATTTCTGACAAAGAATATAAAATACACATTGAATTAAAGTCAGTAGCTACAACAAACCTTGTGTGTCAATGTAGTTTGTTACATGTAGAAAAATGAAGTTATAACCTTTCCTCTCACGCTGTACAAAACCAACTCCAAATGGATAAAGGACCTCAACATACAGTCTGATACCTTGATTTTATCTAAAGACACTGTGAGAAACATGGTTCAAATTATAGGTACAGGAAATGACTTTCTAAATAGGACCCCCTTGTAGGATGAGCATTAAGAACAGAAACTGGCAAAAAAGACCTCTAGCAACAAAAAGGCTTTTGTATGGTAAAGGTCACAAGCATTTGTTTGAAGAGATACCTACACATCTATACATCTGAGAGATAGTGTCTAGAATAGACAAAACACTCAAAATTTAAAAAAGAAGATCACCAAGAAAACATAACAACCCAATGAAAATTGAGGCATGGAATTGATCAGTTTTCAGAACATGATATAATAAATATGGTTGAGGAACATTTATGCTTCAGACACCAAGACATCAAGATAAAGAAAATTAAAAATTCTTAGAGAGTGTATTTCCCCAGTCAGTATGGCTAAGGTAAAAAAGTTGTAGGTAATAACAAATGCTGGGATGGATGCATAGAAAGGGGCACATTTATTTTGCCAGTGGTAGTGCAAACTGGTGCGGTTACTATGGCAATCATTGTGGATATATCTCTAGCATCTAGGTATAGATCTGCCATATGATCTAGTAATTACTGCTGGGTATATTACCAAATTACTACATATCATATAATAGATATAGTTTCTCTATTCATAATATTTAGAAAATACAAACAGCCTAAATGCCCATCCACTGATGAATGGATAACAAAAATGTAGTATATACACACAATGCCACATTTGTGGACTGTTAAGAAAAACGAAGTTTGAGAGAAAACTGGATGGGGATGGAAATACTTGCAAGTGAAGTAACAGGTACAAAAATATAAATGTTGCATGCTTTTAGTCACATGTTGATGCTTGTTCAGAATCTTTAGGTAATTATTCTTAATTTGCTATACCCATAGATGTCAGGAAACCAGTAACAGGCAATACAGAACATATAGAGAATGAAAAAAAAAGCCTGATAGTCAGACCTAAAACAGATTGAATTCAAACAAGAAAAAAAGTATTAAAAATGGGATCATATCAAGTTCAGAATAAATGGAATATTGAAACATTGACCATGTAAATCATTGTCCAAGATCCCAAAGACCTCAACATTCACATGTATTCCAAGAGGCTAAACCAGACAGTGAGCATATAAATCCATTCTGGTACCTAGCATTATTGTAGGTGACTCCTTACATGAAAGTAGATTGTCTTTGTGAATCTGCATTGTGTGCCAAAATTTTCAATGACTAAAAAAGTACACACACAAATTCCAATCCCCAGCTCTCTTCTCGAAGGGATTAAAAGAGCCTTTATTCTAAAGCGAAAATCGAATGACCATGACCAAGAAACACAGATTTAGGTTGGTATAAACAGCATATATATTCCATAGTCAAAATGGTTACACTGGGTTTTATTAGTCTGAAATAAACAAGTCACAAGACAAATAAGACATTTACCAAGTATCTTTGTGGACAGCAGGGGAAGGTAGGTTACAGCAAGGAAGTTGAATGGTAACATTCTGACCTTTAAGTTTTCTAAAAGCTACTGATTTTTTTATACTACCGTTTAAAGGTTTTAATGTTATTCTACATTAGTAGGTGGTCAAAGAATAGCTTTAAAAGGGAATAAATACAGCTCAGTTTAATTTGTACTGGCTTATAACGTCTTAACTTTTCATGATTGTGAATACTAGTCATTTGGACTTGTAGAATCTTAATTATTTCTTTAATAGTTGAAATTATAATTACATCAAAATCTAAATCTACAAAGTCTCATTAGCATGACTGTCTAAATGTGAGCTGAAAAATGTCAACAGCAAGGGTAATGCAAATGTGTAAACGGGAAAGTCTATGAGGCCTAGACCTTACACAAAGAACTACAGGTAACTGAGGTCTGCTGGGAGCAAGTGAACTGGTTTTCTTCCTGTCTTGTCTGAGTTACTGCCTTGACTTCCTTCACTGATGGATTATGATGTGGACATGTAAGCCAAATAAAACCTTTCCTCCCCCAACTTGCTTTTTGGTCATGGTGTTTCCTTGCAGAAATAGAAAACTTAACCAATACAATATGGTAGTCATGAATACAGAGTAAAATTAGTATGTCATATTTTGATACTATGCATTTTGTTTAGAATTCTGCAAAGAGATGTATTAAGTGATGGAGCCACTTCATCTAGGATTGTGCAGGGGCAGGCCATTATAACTGAAAAATGATTATATCTTATGAGAATTCATTTCTTCACCATTACATAATGAGTAGATGAACAAGAATTATAGCACAAGGCCAAGATACTCTTGTTGATGAACTCTACAAAATGTTTAAATAAAGGTACTTAAGAAACTACATTGGTTTCCCATAGTAAGGGGAACAGGGAGTATTCTTGACAGGAACTCAATGGCAGGCTCTTTGACCTCCTCACACCCCAAGGGAGGAGCAGTCCTGCTAGGCCACAGAGGAGGACTTTGCAGCCAGTCCTGAAGATACCTGATAAAACAGGGTCAGATGAAAGGGGAGGAGGTCCTCCCCAATCAGTGGACTTGGAAGGAGGCAGGGAGGAGATGAGGGAGGGAGAGTGGGATTGGGAGGGAATGAGAGAGCAGGATACAGCTGAGATACAGTTAATGAAATGTAACTAATAATAAAAAATAAAATTAAATTAAAAAAAGAAACTACAGGAAACAAGGTAGAAGCATGCAGAGTTCAAGGATATCTTGAAACACATAATGACATTGGCTCCAATCTTCTTCAGAAATAAAAGATATAGATTCCAAACACTGTGTTTCTAGAAAGTATGAAGGTGATACAATTTCAAATTCATTTTACAAAGTTAATATTTCCTCAATACTAAAACCAGATAATGTTAGCAAGAGAATTCAAATATTTCTGGATAAATACAATGTAAAATCTCTTAATTAGGCATAGGAAGTAATATCCAGCAACCTTTGAAAAAAATAACATAAAACAAATGAGGCTTACATCAAAAGTTCAAGTCTGGTTCAACACTTTATAACATTGATTCCTTCTATTCATCATTTTAACACATGATAAGAGAAAATGGACATACCAGCACATAGAAAAGCTTCAGTTATGTAAAGTCAACATTCATTTATGTTTCAAATTCTAAAAGAAAACTAGAGATGGAGGGAATTTTCTTCAACTAATAGAGGGTTTATATAGAGCATATCTACCTAACATTATTTACAATGATTAGAAACCCAATATTTTCCCTATAAGGCCAAACAAAATTTTGTAAGTGAAGGAATAGACACATATCTGTAGTTCTGAATGAAAATCCTGGCAGGTAATATCAGATGGAGAGTAATATCATTATTTTATTATGAAAAATTATGAAAGTTATGAAAAATATAATCATCATATAACTATCAATGTCAAGAAGTGATGCTGAAAAATGAGGTTCCCATATGAAATTGTGAACCTTGACAATGATCTGATCTTGCACACATACTCAAAATGAATCAAATGCAACTAGGGCCACTGAAAAGTCCTCAGAGCCAATAAATGGAAGATTCTTAGAAAAGAAACTTTGGTGAATTAGACTTGGAAGGAATATAAAGACAAATGTCAGCCTCAGAGAACACATTTCCACAACATGTATACAAGGAACACATATATAGAATGTTAAAAACTGCAATTGAATAAACAGGATACTCAAAGAAGACAATAAACAAAAAAACAAACAAAAAAGAAACTACTAAAATTACTGAAGTTCAGTTCAGCTTATGCCAGAAATCTTGTTTTAGATCAACATTCCAAAGTTTTTACCACTATCCACAAATGATTATGTAGCAGATATTTTGTATTAAGGAGGGAAAAGAGAAATATGTAACTATTTCATTGGAGTTCAAAAGTCAGATTACACATGTTCACTTTTTTTGTTGTTGTTTGTTTGTTTGTTTGACTATTTTGGGTCTCCAGTGTGTGCTTGCCTGTCTCAGATTTCCATTCTAATTCTGTAGCTCACTATAGCAGACCTACCTAGACTGAGGTATATTCATTCATCTCATGTTTTTAAGAATTATTTTTCCTTCCCTGTAAGAAATTAAGAAAATTTCTAAAACATTTTTAAACCACTTGTAGTTTTGGATACAAACTGCTGGAATGTCATTCTGTTCTTCATTGTGTGGTATACTGAAGCCTTTTCTCCCCTCTGGTGGCTGCGAAGTTGAACAACTGTGAATTCTTTGAATTTTCTGGTCTAGGAAAGAACTTAAGTATATTTATATACATGCATCCCTCTGGTGACAGTGATTAGAATAGCAGATGTTTGTATTTAAAGAAAGAAAGAAGGAAGGAAAGAAAGAAAGAAAGAAAGAAAGAAAGAAGGAAGGAAGGAAGGAAGGAAGGAAGGAAGAAAGAAAGAAAGAAAGAAAGAAAGAAAGAAAGAAAGAAAGAAAGAAAGAAAAAGAAATGCCAGCTTTTCTTTATCCAAAATAAGAAGCCCAAAAGTATAGACTAGGACATTCTGTATATATTTTTACCATTCTAATGAACATATACTAAAATTAATAAAACATGCCTTCTTTTTTTAATCAAAGTGTTATTTTATTTTAAATGAGTAGATAACTATGATAATCATGTGGGTGTTGGAAATTTACCCATGGAGTCTCCTGGCACATTTTGCAAATACCGAAACTCTCAGCTCAGGCTGTTTGATCAGCCTGTTTGGATGAAATCTGGGTATTCAGGTTCTTCTGTATTTTTAATGACCTGATCTCAAAGAGAAACATAATCACACCGAGGAGTGAAAGGCTGGATGTCAGGATCGCTACTGGGATCACATGAGTGGTGTGTTTCTTTACCAGGGCTGCTTTCTTAACTGGAAAGGTGGGTGGAAAGTCAAGGGTGGTTTTGCCATAGAGATCTACTACGTGGTTCCAGGTCACAGAAATAATTGTACAAAGGCTGCTGAGTACCAGAATTAAGACAGAGCACTTGTAGCACAGTATTTCTATCTCAGGGACTGACACTTTGATAATGCTGAGCCTAATGGCTGCTGAGCTAAATATCACAACAACAGGTTTTATCAGCGTTGTCAGTAATATCAGAGACTGTGCACATCGAAATTCAGGTGAAATGGTCCAGGTCGAGTTGACCGGGCTGTGTACCAGAATTTTGGTCACAGAACCAGAGATCTGAAATTCCTGATAGTAATAAGCTTCCCAGAGTCCAATGTACACAAATTGAACAACGTTATCTTTGAATTCCCAGAGGCGCCAGTATCTGCTGTTTGCAAGGATTATTCCACATCCTGAAGATAAGAGGCTACAAAGAAAGCCAACCAGTCTGTATATCCACTCCTTCATCTCAGAAAGTCTTTTTGTGTTGGGGGTGAAGCAATCCATTTGAAGGATGCCAATATCACCAATCTCCTTCTAAGTCACTGGAAATACTTATCAGAGTGGGAGTCCCAAGAAGATCTGAAGCAACTTTTTACTCTCTCTTCTAGGAAGTCTAAATGTTAGCGACTTCCAACATTAGGAGAAACAAGTTGCTGTACACATTCTTGTGTTTCCATGGCTACCATGGTCAGATTCCTAAGGAATAATTAGGTTCCAATGGGTAAAATGTGGAAAAGGGTGGAGCTAATAGGAGAGGAGGGAGCTGTGATAAGGATGCAAAGTGAATAAATTAATTAAAGAAAAAAACATTTTTTAAAACAGGAAATATTTTTCATATATGTCTATGATTGTATCTGTAAATATATATGTATATGCATATGTACATAAATATGTATACATTGATACATATATATATTTCCAAATATAGCTACTCAGTCTGTATAATGTTAAAAAATAGTTACCTCAGCTAATGGAAAATATCAGTACTCAAACATATGTGATGCCTCACTTGGTGGACTTCTTGTCCATCATTGCAATTGTTATTGAGAACAAGCCTGCCTCCATCCTAGGCTCAAAAGTCATCTGACAGTAAAGACAAACTAGGCTCAGTCCTGCTTATGATTAAACCTGTTTCTCAAGGATTGGGCTGCCCCCCTCCACTGTAACCTTAATTACAAAAGTTATGTACTGTCTAATCCAGAAATGACAATTATGTCTTTGTTTCAAAAACTTAATAACTATCTTGCAACTCTAGCTTTGTTACAAAAGAGTTGTTTTTGCTACCTGCTTATGACTACCTGCTGTTATGCCCACCTTGCAACCATGTCTTTGTTTCAGGGGGTCATTAAAACTAACTTGTCATGCTTTTGTTCTGCTCTTGTTACCCCACATATTTTCTACTGTTTCTCTGTTTCTACTGAGGGGGTCTGGATTCCAACTGGGGTCCTGTAACTCAGATTCTGGATGGAGAACGGGGGTTCTATTTCTCTCAGGGGCAGTTAGAGTGCCTTAGGGTGAGACCCAAGTGTACTAAGCAGGGGTGTGGAAAAGGTTTCCACAGAAGGTTACAGTTTAGCTCTTTTAGCATAAGATCACCAGTGACAATGAAAGCTCAGGTATTTCATAGCCTATGGCTGATACCAAAGTGTATCAGCTCTTGGTCAGGCTTCCGTGCTGAGCCAAGGCCCATTCCTGGTTGACTTTCAGCAAAGAAACAGGTCTGGTGAGGCCCAGGTCCAGTGGGCTGGAGGGCAGGCCTGGTGAAACTCGACCTGGCAGAGAATAAATGACAAATCTTAAGACAGTCTTGAAGTAAGGAAGTTCAAACCTTTATTCCCATGGAATCAAGGGCAATATAAACACTGGGCAGAAGGAGAGATTTTGAGGTTGAAATGTGTTTGATTGGTGGGGTCAGGGGGTCAGGGGTACTTAATTGTCCCATCACAAGAAAGAAAATACAGGCATTAATTACCCTATGGTGGGGGGAATCTGCTAGCAAAATTGAAGACCACTGCTGTATTAAGATCCTTAACAGGGTGGGACATTTCTAGGAATTCCTAGAGGCTTCTTTAAAGCAGTTTCCTTATCAGGCAAGAGTCTGGCCTGTAATCTGCCCTGATGGCTATGTGAAGCTCCTTAGAAGACCTGAGGTCACTCATATCAGGGGAGACTTTTCAGAACCCCACTGAGAAAAAGGAGTTTATCATCATGCATCACAAATGATTGGAAATCTGGAGATGATGGACTTCAACCTTATCCAGCAGAGCCCCACAGTCTACAAAATTCCCCATCAGGAAACCACCTACTTCTTTTTTTATTGTTTATTATTATTAGTTACATTTTATTAACTCTGTATCCCAGCTGTATCCCACTCCCTTATTCCCTCCCAATCCCTCCCTCCCTCCCTCAGCTTCTCCCTGCCACTTTCCAAGTCCAAGAATTGGGGAGGACCTCTTCCCTTTTCGTCTGGCCCTGTTTTATCAGGTATCTTCAGGGTTGGCTGTAAAGTCCTCCTCTGTGGCCTAGCAGAACTGCTCCTCCCTTGGGGGGTGGAGAGTCAAAGAGCCTGCCATTGAGTTCCTGTCAGAGATAGTCCCTGTTCCCCTTACTATGGGAAACAAATTGGTTATTGAGCTACCACAAGCTTCGTTCCAGTAAAGGTTCTAGGTTATATCCATACATGGTCCTTGGTTGGAGAAACAGTTTCAGAAAAAAACCCTGTGCCCATATATATTTGGTCCTTATGGGGCTCCTATCCTTTCCCCGTCATACTAGCTCTCCTTCTGCTGAAGGTTTGGTTATGAGTCTTAGTATCTGTTTTGAAACACTGTTTGGTAGGGTCTTTCAGATGCCTTCTGCGGTAGACTGCTGTCATACTTCCTATGCACTTCTCATTTGTTTTTCTAAGAGAGGATTGATCATCTTACCTCATGTCTACTTTCTTGTTTATCTCCTTTAGGTGTATAGACTTCATTATGTTTATCATTTCTTGTAAGTCTATATAAGCGAGTATATACCATGTTTGTCTTTCTCCTTCTGGGATACTTTGCTCAGAATGATCTTTTCTAGATCCCACCATTTGCCTGCAAATTTCATGATTTCCTCATTTTTGATTGCTGAGTAGTATTCCATCGAGTAAAAATACAACACCTTCTGTATCAATTCTTCCGTTGATGGACATCTGGGTTTTTTCCAGGTTCTGGATATTACAAATAAAGCTGCTACAAACATGGTTGAGCAATTGTCCTTGTTGTGTACTTGAGCAAATTTTGGATATATACCTAGCAGTGGTATAGCTGGGTCTTGAGGAAGCACTATTCCTAATTGTCTGAGAAAGTGCCAGATTGACTTCTCAGTGGTTGTACCAGTTTACATTCCCACCAGCAATGGAGGAGGGTTCCCCTTTCTCCACAACCTCTCCAGCATGTGTTGTCACTTGAGTTTTTCATCTTGGCCATTCTGATGGGTGTAAGGTGAAATCTCAGGGCTGTTTTGATTTGCATTTCCATAATGGCTAATGAGGTTGAGCATTTCTTTAAATGCTTCTCTGCCATTTGATATTCCTCTATTGAGAATTCTCTGTTTAGCTCTGTAACCAATTTTTTAATTGGATTCCTTGGTTTGTTACTTTTCAGTTTCTTTAGTTCTTTATATATATTGGATATTAGCCCTCTGTCAGATAAAAGGTTAGTGAAGATACTTTCCCAATCTGTAGGCAGTAGTTTTGTTTTGATGATGGTGTCCTTTGTTTTACAGAAGTTTTCAGCTTCATGAGGTCCCATTTATTGGTTGTTGATCTTAGAGCCTGTGTTGGTGTTCTGTTCAGGAAACTGTCTCCTGTGCCAATGAGTTCTAGGCTGTTCCCCACTTTTTTTTCTAACTGATTTAGAGTATCTGGTTTTATGTTGAGGTCTTTGATCCACTTGGAATTTAGTTTTGTGCAGGATGATAATATGGATCTATTTTCATTTTTCTGCATGTAGACGTCCAGTTGGACCAGCACCATTTGTTGAAGATGCTGGGTTTTTTTTTTTTGTTTTGTTTTGTTTTTTGTTTTTTTCCATTGAATGGATTTGGCTGCTTTGTCAAAATGAAGTATTCATGGGTGTGTGGGTTTATTTCTGGGTCTTCTATTCGGTTCCATTGATCCTCCTTTTTGTTTCAATGCCAATACCATGCAGTTTTTATTACTATTGCTCTCTAGTACAGCTTGAGATCGGGGATGGAGATACCTCCAGATGATATGTTGTTGTACAGGATCATTTTGGAGATTATATGTTTTTTTTTTTCTCCATATGAAGCTGAGAATCTTTTTTTTTTCAAGGTCTGTAAAGAATCGCGTTGATATTTTGAATGGGAATTGCATTGAATCTGTAGATTGCTTTTGACAGGATGGCCATTTTCACAATGTTAATCCTACCAATCCATGAGCACAGGAGATCTTTCCATCTTCTGATATCTTCTTTAATTTATTTCTTCAGAGACTTGAAGTTTTTCTCAAATAGGTGTTTCACTTGCTTGGTTAGTGTCACCCCAAGGTATTTTATGTGGTTAGTGGCTATTGTGAAGGGTGTTGTTTCCCTTATTTCTTTCTCAGCACTTTTGTCTTTGGTATATAGGAGGGCTTCTTATTTTTTTTTTTTTAGTTGATTTTGTATCCTGCCACTTTGCTGAAGGTGTTCATCAGCTGGAGGAGTTCTCTGGTTGAATTTTGGTGTCGCTCATGTATACTATCATATCATTTGCGAATAGTGACACTTTGCCCTCTTCCTTTCTGATTTGTATCCCTTGATCTTCTTCAGTTGTCTTATTGCTCTGGCTAGAACTTCAAGTACTATGTTGAAGAGGTATGGAGAGAGTGGGCAGCCTTGTCTTGTCCCTGATTTCAGTGGGATTGATTTAAGTTTCTCTCCATTGAGTTTGATGTTGGCTATAGGCTTGTTGTATATTGCCTTTACTATGTTTAGGTATGTGCCTTGTATCCCTGATCTCTCCAAGACTTTAAACATGAATGGGTGTTGGACTTTGTCAAATGCTTTTTCAGCAGCTAAGGAGATGATCATGTGGTTTTTCTCCTTCAGTTTGTTTATGTGGTGTATTACATTGATGGATTTCTGTATGTTGAACCACCCTTGCATGCCTGGGATGAAGCCTACTTGTTCATGGTGAATGATATCTTTTATGTGTTTTTGGATTCAGTTTGCAAGTATTTTATTGAGTATTTTTGCATCAATATTCATTAGAGAGATAGGTCTGAAGTTCTCTGTTTTTGTTGGGTCTTTGGTTTAGGTATCAAGGTGACTGTCGCTTCATAGAACGAGTTTGGTAATGTTCCTTCTGTTTCTATTTTGTAGAATAGTTTGGAGAGAATTGGAGTTAGCACTTCTTTGAAGGTCTTATAAAATTCTGCAGTGAATCCATCTGTCCCAGGACTTTTTTTGGAAGGGAGACTGTTGATTGATGATTGCTTCTATTTCCTTGGGGGAAATAGGACTATTCAATCT